AATGGTATGTACTCTATAATTCAAACAYATTAAAATAAAAAGCAATAGGGAAAGTTAATAGTACACGACAGACGATAATTTTCTGTTATAAATTACAAATGTATAAACAAGATAAGAAGGTTATAGCTAACGAAGTAATGATACAAAGTTACAACGGCGAAGGGGTTAATTATTTAATGAGTACTGCGCTCTGRCTAGAGGACATATTGCAAAAAAACTTGGAATAAAAGATAGTATAGATAGTCGATTTTATCACTCAGAGATTATTCAACAATCTTATACGTTTACTGCATGTCTGCAATCATTTAGGGAGTTTAAGCACAAATGTTTGTAGCACTATATAGAACGAGAATAATCTATGGGTTTTAGAATTTTAACAACGTTCAAYACGTATATGCAATCCGACAAGAGCTGGAGTCAGTATACCGAGGCCTAATAGAATAGAACCATACTTKAGATTTAATTCGTCTTACAAGTGTGCGTTATAAGGGTATTATATTAAGGTGAATAAGACACTTGAAGTCACTTRAAAAACTTGTTTAATAAAACCATTCTGTTGATATTATAATTTAATAATAATTATTGTATACATTATTCTGTATATTTTTTTACAGTATTAGCTTAAAWTTCACACGTTCACTAGCCGAGTGTTCTAGTTCAATGATGTATTGCACGATGGCGAAATACAAAAACAATCATTTATACAAGACATAAATACATACGGACAATGGACATACATACCTACTTATTTTCCGATCACAATGTGATTATAACGCGATTACAGTTATATACGCATACAAACCAGAAAAACCAAAACGTACGCAAAGTTACTCCGTCCAGTGTCCACGCATTGCCGTAGCGATGGAAAATGTTCGCCAATATTTCGACGAGTTAATTGCGAGATTTATAAGTTAGCCGTTTATGACTATATGAGCTATAGACTAAATAATAATAGTGGACCAACTTTACATAACTCGCCCATGTCAAATTTATAAATATATAGCAAAAGATGTGTCGCGATTTGCGAAGTTTCGATGATTAACTCTCAACATTTGGACTTGGKAGTCAAACTTTTCGTTTTTATTTAATTTTGTTCCATCTTCACGGTTATTTTGAGAAATACTGAAATATTTTAGTTTCGAATATGATRAAGCTCACTTGATWCTTGCATCGCATGTTACCTACTTTTTTAACGTGGTTCATTAATSTATAACAGCTTGCCAAAACATACACGCCGAGGGTGTGAAATATATACATATATTATTATRTATTATAAATATTTTAATTTCTAAATTYAAAAATATATTATTATTGTCATTATTATTTTGGACTGTTGTCGAGTCCGAGGCGATAAATAGTTGAGATTCAGCATTTTTAACATAATAAACTTGCTAAAAACATAATATGCATGATATACGTATATTATAATACACACTTAAATTGGTATTTCTGCTTATTATTTTATAACATATTATATATTTTATATATACTTCCAGAGTACGCGTTTACGTTTCGTCTGTTTTGATGACGTCTGTGTCGACCGTGGAGCGACTATGAGCGTCACAGAGAAGATGGTCGCGATGCGCAGACGATATGCCGGGCGCAAAAAACAACAACATAAAATATATTACATCCGCAAGCAGACGCGATCGGGTCGCACTGATACACACCTATTTGCTTGTTAAAAATCTAATGGATCTTATGTGCATACGTTATACGTACATAATACACGGTTTCGTGTGTGTGTGTGTGTGTGTGCAAATTATATATGCACACACGATAAAATATAAGAACAATCCGAAGCGCATGTCGTACACGCTGTTATTGTGGGTTATAAGAAAAAAAATCAGAAGATAAAATTATCTACCGGGTACCTGTGTTGTATACCTATATATGTATTTATAGGTATTGACTGTTAAAGTATATAGGTACAATACGTGTACAACGTCGGTACGTATATAAAAGTGTATCGTCTGCCGAAAAATTGYGATGACTAAAATTGGTATATTTATATAATATTGTTATTATAATATATGCGTTGAGATGAATGCCATTCGAATTTCGTGTCGTTTCAGTTATACACTGTAATATACACGACTATATAATATTATAACATTAATAATGATCAAAATTCTATTGAGTGGTTTAGTGAATRATCAGTTTTATTTTTTATTTATTTTAATTARTAAAAGATTATCRTTATTTATAATGTTATTATAATATAATATTTATTCTAAGTTATTAACAATAATGGTTGGATGCAGTGGTTTATTATTGTGACTACTTTGATATATTTTCTAGAGGAATTCAAACATTTGACAAAGATGATTGAAAGTTTCGTTAAAATTGCACAAATGTTGAATGTTGATAGATGATGACCCAACTATAAAAAATGATTTGAATATCATTAAAACACACTTTGGATTTTTAGTGGATAAAATTATTAGTTTAGAAAAGCAAGACATCATTCTGACTGATTTTATTTTKAAAATCTATACAAAATTAACTTAGAGTAACGTTTAAAAAAAAATCACGGACTGAAGAATTTGAACACAATTCCAAAAATGCATGGTAACCAAAGACTTTGAAAAAGAACTAACTATACATCAGACATACAAAATTTCAAATWATATGCTTCTGTCTCATCTACAGACATACAACGTAGTTTTTCCAAATTCAAAATGTTGTTATCGGATAACAGGRGAAAATTTACTTTTGAGAATTTAAAGAAACCATTGATTGTCCAGTGCAATATTCCTGATAAATTTCTAATTATATTTTCAAATCTTTTAATGCTTAATTGATTCTTAATGTTTTATTGCATAATTAATATTCATAATTCATTTATTCTTAGAAAAATATTCTGCTTCGTAATATGAGATTACAATTATTAATGAACGATGTTTTTGTAATGGTGTAGACCACCATTATGGTATTTATATTTGACTATGATATGAATATAAATATTATATATAAGTTAGTATGTTATTGTAATTTTACATAGTGAGCAATCGTAATATGAGATTACAATTATTAATGAACGATGTTTTTGTAATGGTGTAGACCACCATTATGGTATTTATATTTGACTATGATATGAATATAAATATTATATATAAGTTRGTATGTTATGGTAAAAGTACGAATACTTGCGCGGTTAAAACCTATAGGTTAGTTTAGGTTTTTATTCTGGTATATGTATTTATATTACGATTGCTCACTATGTAAAAAAATAACATAAAACTAAATTACCTAGATGTCCCTTATTTATAACGGTTTATTTATTAATCATATATAATTACCTACACAATAAATAKGTTTTAAATATTTTGTAWTGAATAATGAAATAAAATAATTAAATTTTGTAGGAATTAATCRATCACCATATTATGCAACAATGTTTGGAATAATATTAAATTTTAATGAAAATGGAATTGGTGATTAACGGTACCATAAAATGTATAATCAACTTTTATAGCAGAAGAGAGGAGTTTGTGCTTACGAAAACAATATGAATTTAGTTCAGATTTCTGAGGTAGATGAGATGTAAGAGTCATAGTAATAGGACCACCCGATAAAACCATAGTAAGTAATGTGTAAAGCAACTGAACAATTTGGAGTAGATAATTGATAACCCACACCAAGAATAAACGCATAACAATTCTGAAAAACAAATGAAAAAAGTCACACAGTATCAAACTATAACTGTAATGTGAAAATAAAAATTAGAATCAATGTGTAAAAGAAAGGAATCTGAGCGAAGGTCGAAGACTATTTGTCACTCTATACTATACTAAGATATAATATATATTGCTATGTAGTCATAGCCTTATATAGATTGATTACATTTTTGCGAAAACATTGTATTTATTGAAAACTAGAAAGAAGGAAAATTTATTTCAAGCAAACTATATTATATTTATATGATACTTTTAATTTAAATCGAATGATGTATTTTAACTATTTTTTCCAAACAAAATAAACACTTTAAATGTAATTTGTTTTTTAAATGTTTTCAAGATTATTAGGTCATTAAATTCCGTGCCCTATTTATTATATTATAAGTATTTCGATTTTATAATGGTATATATTGATATAATTTATTATTGATTATTAATTTTTGAATCAATATCGTCTTGTCCGTCTTACTGTACAATAGCTTAAAATTAACCTAAATGTTTTAATACATCATTGTCTATATATAATATGATATGTGATAAAGTAATAAAACATGTTAAATACATAATACCTATTTTTAAACTTTCGAATCTTCACGAATAATATTTTTTAATTAAAATAATAATAAAATAATAGAAATCTTTATTCTGAGTTTAAATATCTTATTTCCTTCAAATTAGAGCGTTCAAATGTATACTTAAAAAATTTGTTTTTTTTTTTTAGATTCTTTGGTTTCAGTATAATGAAGAACCTTGATAAAACTAAATATTTTATACATTTTCAACTAAAAAATAATTTACACGTTTTTGAGCGGTATTGGCGGATTTACTGCACATTATGTGGACAACGATATATAATATCATATTATTAAATATTGATGTATATCATTTCAGTTTAAGGAAATAGATTATAAATATATTTTGTTTCCCGTTGGCCGTAATGATGAGCAAAGACAACCCACTTAAATATTACCTAGTGTATCTGTGCCCATGATGATTGACTATGAATACGCCCCTACTCTTACAGCATTATTATAGCGAGTCATTTGTTTGTGGCTATAATAATATTATTATTATCTTCCGTAACGTTAAATAAAAAAAAAAAGTAGTGTACCATAGCTACGATCATTCCGAGCAACCAGAGAAACGACAAAACAGATATTAATATATATTAAAATTAATTGTTTTTATACATTTCATAGATAATATTATCGTCAATATAATATATTATTACAACACGAGTATATTATATTCTAAGCTGGTAGATATTGAAAATTTAAATACCACAATATTATGATTCAACTGAGAAAAAAGTTCCAGCACATGATCGGCAATCCTTTTGTCGACGACCATCGCAAGACTGTTGAAGAGAAGGTTCGTGTCTCATTTATCGATGATGAAAACCCAATTGCCGAACGACCCGACCTGGGTGAGCTTCCATCATTTTTGGACCAAAATTCTGTGGACCACCTGAAGACCACCCAAGTGGGATTAAGTCTACGCACTGGTATAGGTTATCGCCGTCATCGGTCATCCTCGAGGATTGAAAGGCTTGCTAAGCCGTTGGCTAGGTTTGCAAAACCGTCGAATCGGCTGAGTGCAGTTTTCCGGGGTAATAAAACGCTGTCGCTACTGTAATAATATTATTATTAGAATAGTATAGAGCGTATAGTATAAATTAGATATTATATCCTATTCCAGCTGGTTGGTTAGTAGAAAAACAATTATTCTTTTCAGTTCATCTAGATTAGGGTTGCCAGATGGTTAAGAACACCAAACCGGGACATTATATAGAATAACCTTTTTTTT